AGGGAGGAGGGAGGAGGAGTGGGAGGGAGGAAGGGGAGAAAGGGGAACGGGGAGAGAACAAGGAGATAGAGAGATACATACCGGCTGCGTTCAAGAGACGGCATGGGCCGCCATCGACGACTTGTCCTTCGGGGTTGACGAGGATCAGGTCGGAGGCTTTGAGAAGCGGCCAGGCCACGCCGAAGGGGTTCACCCAGAAGTGATCCGGCTTGATGGGATCCTGTTTGTTTATATGTTTTCGTTAGTCATTTCAGTCTTTTGTTCTTCTCTTTTCTGAAATATTCCCTGCTCCGTTGACATCTATCTATCGTATGGCTTCTTCTCCTCACCGTCACACTTCGTGCAGATGAGACAGGACACTCTTGAATTTTTCATCCTCACACTCACTCTCACCCACCCCGAATCCGCTCTCGCTGATTCCAAGAAGGCCATACGCTCAATGCTCATAAACATTAGGCGAAGAGAGAGAGAGAGCGCACCAGGAAATCAAGACAGAAATCAAGAAGTCAAGAAATCATTAAACAGTAACCGAAAGAAAGAGACCCAAACCCACCCTCAAGGTAATATGGCCCGCAACCCCCTCGTCGAAGCCATACTTGGCAAAGATGCGGAACGCCAGCACCAGCCGCCCCTTCAGAAACTCGCGCTCCGCGTACTTATCCGCGAACTTCGGCGGGCCGGCGATCGTAGGCATCGTGACCTGCTTCTTCTCGGCTTGCGCCTGGGAGAGACCCGGCTCGAGAGTTGCGGTGCCAGGAGTGGCAGCGGGTCCGGTGGCGGATGGGGGAGCCATTTTGGTGATGATGTTTGGATTTATGAAGTATGAAAGGGAAATTTCTTTGTTAAAAAGATAGATGGAGTGAGAGAGCTTAAGAAAGTACGAATACAAATACATACACATATATATATATACCGTTGAGTTGTGTTTTTCCGGGGTTTCCCTTCCCCAGGAAAGGGGAAATGGGGGACTGGGGAAACTTTATAAGCTAACGTTAGACGGCGGCCTCGGCTCAGTACCTGGCAGGATCCTAACCGAATATCCGGCTACTTTGCTTGTATAATCCAGGCAATTATTGAGTCTAGAATCTGCTCTAGGCCTTTATTAGTAAGAGTTTAATGAATAAGCAGTCCTACTATCCCCCCCCCCCCCGTGAATAAATGTCGGATCCAGTTTAGCTCCATAAATCGTAGAGCGGTGATTACTGAATGGCTTAAAGCCCTGGACTGAATACTGGCTCAAAGATACTTTTAAAGGCTGAATGAATCCTTATACTGTACTGTAAGTTGATCGGTTTAAGACCTGGTAAGATCCCTTGCAAAATTTTACTTTCGACATGTATTCATGGGGGGGGGGAGAGTACCGGTACCGGTAATGCAAGAGAAAGTCTATACGGAAGAAAAAGAAAAAAAAAAAAACTTTCGGGAACGCACGACTCTGCATCGTTTGCTCCGTAGAGTGTGGCAAAGGTGTTGATCTGCGGGGTACGAGACCGAGGCAGATGGCAAGGTCACCAGAATGGGATGTGATTGGACGGGACGCGAGAAGCGAGAGGAAAAGGGGCCATGTCAACAAGTGCGAACGATAAGCCACTAGATGAGGATTTGTATTTCTCGGCTGTGGATAGTGGTAAGCAAAGTCGGTTGAAATTATTCCGGGTGGAACTGCGAACTGGTGGCTTAGTCGGATCATTTTATGGGCACCCTCAATATCTTGTGTAGGTATGGCTGCTCAACGGTAAGCTAGAGCTGAGACGACACTTGCTGGCCAAGATTGGTGAACTGTGGAGGAGACTGAGGAGTTGGTAAGGATGGGTAAAAGAGACTGGCGCAAAGGATTTGTAATGTATCGCCTGTTTTTCGACGCTACCTTACCTCTGCCTCTTAATTGTTTTAAAAGGCGTAATTTTTGAAATTGGAATGATGGGTAGCACCTGTGGATCTTAAGGTGACAAGAGGAACGAGCTTACTTAGATGCCGCGACCCAGCCTAAAAAGACCAATATCAGAGACTCTGCGAGATAGGCTGAATGTTAATGTCGCAATTGGTAGCTTGCAGAAAGACTTTATATACTGTAAAGCTAGCAACGTTCAGCACCTGGAAAAGGGTTCAATGACCTTGAAGTTGAGAGAAACACGATGAAGGATAGCCATGAATCATAACAAAGATTGGAGTTGTGCCATTGTGTCTATCCATCAAGACCTCTTCGGTTGTAAATTGACATCTGGGCTAACGCTGTGGCTGTGTCTGAAGCCAGATTGGAGCTGGAAAGGAGGAATTGGGATAGCACTAATCTGGTTGAGAGCTTAGGGACCAGAGAATGATAATGGAAAAGCAAAGCAGACGAATAATGGCTGATTATATGAATCTGTGTGTCGAGGAGAAGCGACCTTTTGATACTGGCAGCGCGCATGTTATCTGCCTGATAACCAGGGGGCTAGAGAGACTTTATCATCTCTGCTGAATCATAAATAGCCCTATTTCCTGAGATATACATCACCCACTATGGCATCCAGCACCAGGTACAGACCACAGAAATGAGGATCGGGACGCTATGCGTAGAGATAAGTGTAGTTAGAAATGCCGTTGAGGCTTCGAAAAGGTAAGTTAGTATGGACATTTGGCTATCATTGCTTCTACTCGTTGAGCATATGGAATTTGAGTGCCCACCCCTATGAAGAGGTTTCATGTGGAGTGTAGAGACTGGAGGAATCTCAACGATGAGTGATGCCCTGCGGCCTGAGTGTGCAAAGTGGTCACATGATCCGGCAAATAGTTTCACCTGGCGCCGGGGTAAGCTACTAGACAGAGCTCTGATAATTCTTACAATCGAGAACTGGGATAGCTCGATAACATTTACAAATTCACATACTACGACCCAGCACAATTACTACTCCACAATGGGTCGCGGAGGAAACCGAGTGAGTGATCAATGCCCGGAATCGATCGATCGATTCTAATTATCAACAGGGCGGACGCGGGCGAGGAGGTGGAAGAGGTCGAGGCCGAGGTGGTGGGGGGAGAGACCGTCGCGGTGAAGACAACAGAGTCAGCTTCGAGAAGGTCCCCAAACACAACGAGCGACTCGAGAGATACTACAATACCGTCCTGAAATTATCCGCCGAGGAGAGAGGAGAATTCTGGAATGCCTACAAGCGCGAGTTGCCCAACAGCTTTCGCTTCGCGGGGTCAAAAGGGTATGCGCCGATGCTTGAGGTGCCATTGCGTGGATGCTAATCCTTTATAGACATGCGCTCTCAGTCCAGAAACTTCTAAAGGAAAGATATATCCCCGAAATCTCCGAGATCTCCCATTACGATGGCACCCTCGTCGAGCCTCCCCTTCCTGTACCCTGGTACCCAGACGAGCTCGCATGGTGGATGACCACCCCCAAGAACGTCATTCGAAAATTCCCTCCCTTCTCGGCTTTCCAGAAGTTTTTGGTATCCGAGACCAGTGTTGGAAACATCAGTAGGCAGGAGGTTGTTAGCATGATCCCGCCTTTGGTCATGGATCTTCAACCTGGCATGACAGTGCTCGACATGTGTGCTGCTCCTGGTAGTAAGGCGGCGCAACTGCTGGAGATGGTCCATCGAGGAGAGGAAGCACGCATGCGCAAGTCTCTTCGGGACTATGCAAGTATCGATGGTCGTGATGTCAGCCCAGGTGCGGATGTTATCGACGATGCCGATTTCGAGATCGATTCGAGCGACAACGGGAGAGCTACAGGACTGCTGATCGCCAACGACTCTGACTACAAGCGCAGTCATATGTTGATCCATCAACTGAAACGCCTCTCTTCTCCCAACTTGATAGTCACCAACCACGATGCGACCATGTTCCCCTCTATCAAGCTCCCTCCTACTCCGGAGAACCCCGCCCTCAACCGATATCTCAAATTCGACCGAATCCTGGCAGATGTGCCATGCTCCGGAGATGGGACTTTGAGAAAGAACGTCAATCTCTGGCAAGATTGGGGACCAGGAAATGCCCTTGGTCTTTACGTCACCCAGGTCCGAATCTTGGTCCGAGCTTTGCAGATGTTGAAGCCCGGTGGACGTGTGGTCTACTCTACCTGCAGTATGAACCCTGTCGAGAACGAAGCAGTTGTAGCTTCTGCCATTGAGCGCTGCGGTGGTCTTGAGAAGGTCCAACTTCTTCCAAGCCACGAACAGCTTCCCTCGTTGAAGAGGCGCGAAGGTCTGGATAGCTGGAGCGTTATGGATAAGAGCGGCCAAGTCTGGTACTCTTGGGAGAATGTCCAGAAATACAACGAGGAGCAGGGCGCAACCGCCGCTACCGAGAAGCTCGTCGAGGGAATGTTCACGCCTGTTGGTTCCGCGATCCCCTTCGACAGATGCATGAGAGTCTACCCTCATCTCCAGGATACCGGTGGATTCTTTATTGCTGTGCTAGAAAAGCAGACTGAATTCAAGGCTAAGCCTGAGTCCGAGTCGAAGAAGATTGAGGCGAAGCCCCCCATCACGGCGATTGTTGATGAGATCATGGCTCAGCCAACACCTCCTGAAGGGGGCTCTGTTGCGCCAAAGATCGAAGCCGCTGATGCGCTTACGCATCCCTCTGTCGTAAGTCCTACACTCTTTTCTTATATTCATTTATATTCATTTCAAGTCACACAGCATGTCGCTGACCTATTCCTAGAACACCCAAGATAGCGAGCCCACGCCCGTTGCTCGCCAAAATCAATCCAACCCAGAGCCGGATAGCAATGTCCTCAAGCGCCCTGCCGAGGACGATGCGATGATAGACGGAGTTATCGGGACCAAGAAGCTGAAAACTAAAGAGGACCTGGATGAGCCTGCCGAGCCAGGATTCGAGAACAGAGACGTCCACGGATCTGGACCGCCAGGGGCGATGCTAGATGCCACCACCAGACCTGGTGACATGAGATCGGATGCAGCACCCCCTCGCCGTGTGCAGAACCGAGCCGGTCAGCAATTCGAAGAGCCTTTCAAATACGTATGTTCGGACCGTTTTCGTTTTGTCTCCTAGGCATCTTGGGCATATTTGCTAACCACCTCCAGATTCCAACCGATCACCCTGAAGTATTGGCAGTAGAGAAATTCTACCACCTGTCCCCCCGCTTCCCCAAAGATCGCTTCCTGGTTCGCAATGTAGCGGGCGAGCCTGCTAAAACCATCTACTACACATCCGCCCTTATCCGCGATATTCTCACCGAGAACGAAGGCAAGGGCATCAAGTTCATCCATGGGGGTGTCAAGATGTTCATGAAGCAAGATGTCCAAGCTGAAGGTGTCTGCAAGTGGCGTATTCAGTCCGAGGGAATGCCGATCCTGGAAGGCTACGTTGGGGAGGAGCGAGTCGTCCGCTTGTACAAAAAAGAAACTCTTCGTTCGTTGTTAATTGAGATGTTTCCGAAGGTGTCTGATGGAGCGTGGAAGAACCTCGGCGAAATCGGAGAGCGTGTCAGAGACATCGGCATGGGATGTTGTGTGCTACGAATCGAGCCTAGTAATGAGCCAGTAAGTCATGTCAATGTCTCTGGGGTGTCTGGACAGGCAGATTTATTGCCCGATAGCCCTATGGGCCAAACACTTGAGCTTTGGATATTGACCTCTCATAGGATGGATTATCAGACCGCATCGCCCTTCCTCTGTGGCGCAGTCTCCACTCCCTCAACCTCATGCTTGCTAAGGAAGATCGCACCGCGATGCTTCTCCGCATCTTTAACGACACCACTCCGCTAGTGAACAACAACATCCCGGCCAAGAAAGATAAGGACGGATCCGATGTCGCCCTCGGCTTCATAGTCGAAGACGACGAGACCAAGGTGGACACATCCTCGGCGATTGAATCCGCAGCCCCAGTGAACGATACCAACATTGCTGGTGGCGTCAAGCCGGGTCCCTACGGAGCCATTGTTGCGGACCCGCACCAGGCGGGCCTCCCGGACGTCAAGGCGGCAAAGATTGAGAAGGGAGAGGAAACAGGCGGCCCGGAACAGCAGCTGAACGGCACGGGAGGCGTTGAAGAGCAACTGGGTGGGTTCTGAGCCTCCCTCAGTCGCTTCCTGTGCATCCCAAGGGCAAGTAAGCGGCGGCCCATTCGTATGGCACCTGGACTGGATGGCGTTTTGGGGCTGGCTTACTACGTACGATGGGGGGGAGGAGGGGCCTGGCTGGCTCCGTTTTCTCTCTTTCCATACACAAAAAAGCTTGCATCGGAAATACTGCGCGCGGTTTGTATAAAAAAATCAACGTGGAATATGTCTTTGTCTTTACATTCGCCTCCTGCTCAGTGTCCCCATTCCTCTTTCTCTTCCTCTTCTGCGATATATATCACAGCAGCAGAACCCACCCTACCCAGCAGGTAGTAGGTAGGTGTGCGTTTCTTCACGCCTCGCCTCGCCTCGCCTCGCTTATTAACCTTACTTAACCTTCTTCCATCATCCCTCGCGTAATTTCGGAAAACCACGTGACATGTGACAGGACAGACAAAACACAGCACTGAGTGTTACCTAGAGGAAAGTACCGAAGAAAAGATCCAGATCCTGATGCATATCTATCTAGGTATTATAGAGCCGGGTATTGAACACTCCCCATCTCCATCTACCATCTCCATCTCCATGGTGCTCCCCCCTTCGTCCCCACCACACACGTCTTTCTCTTTCTTTCCTGCCTGCCAACTCTCCAAACTTCTACTTCACCCAAAACTGTTCAGCAATAAATCCACCGCGGCGAATATTGCACACCCTCTCCTTGACCCAAGGTAACTTATTTACATCCCCTCCTCCCCCTCCCTCTAGAAACCCGCCTGCCAATTATTGAATTAACATTCTCTCCCCATCAGAGGCCCGGCATCTTGTCAGTGCTGACGGTCCTCTTGCCCCAGCCGGCCCAGAATCCTCCACCAACCGTCGAGACCGCGCTCGCTGGAGCGCTGGCTTGATTCTGCGGCTGCGGTCGGCTCACATAGCCTCCATTACTCGGTCCATTGCCAGAAGAGGCACTCACCGGGCTTCCCGTGCTAGGCGTAGCTTTATCCAGCTTGCCACTCGCCCCATCGCCACTCTGCCCCAGCAATTTCTTCAGGCTCTCTAGTTTCAACTTCGCCTCCTCGGCTTCCTGCTTAGCGATCGCTTCCGCAGTCTTAGCTTGCACAAGCTCCAAAACAAGAGCGTCTGTGTCGTCTTGACTCATCTTTGACGGACTGGGCTCTGGCGGCAGTGGCGGACTAGGCGGTGGCATCTCGTTCTCTTTCAGATGAACCAGACTGGACGTACGCTTAGAGAACATCGCCGGCGTTTTCTGCGATCTACTCGAAGGCGAGCGGCCGAGTTTGAATTCTCGTAACCCGCTGTTGCCGGACGACCGATCGTTCTCGCTTTCTCGGCTGGCATCGGGGCTTGTGGCTGCCGACCTGCGAGATTTGAGCTCAGACACCTGTCTCTCCAGTCGCTGTTTGTCCTGGTGAGCCGCTCGAATCTGAGTGTGACCCTCCCTCACCTGGTCTTTGAGATTGTGGATCTCTTGTTGGTGCTCAGCCAATTGACGTGTCAAATCTTGCCTCTTGGCCGATTCGTGAATGAGCTGCTCTTTTGCACGAACAATGTCGTCTCGTAGTTGAGATTTCGTTTGCAGGATCGAAGAACGTCTATTGTCCGCGGGTGGAGCGAATCGATCTTCCACAACGTCGAGCAGAGCCGCAAGATCGTTCGCTGCGGGAGTCTCATCATCCGCGACTCCCGGGAGAATGGTCTGGTCGTGGTCCTCTTCGTCGTCTTCTTTGATCCCGGGACCTGGCTTCACGGTTTCCGAACTCTCCGAACTTGAACCACTTCCCACCGTCTCCAAGCTCGACTTCTTCCTCAACCCATCGAGCAATAAGCGAACCGTATTTCGATCTTCATCCCGCTCCTCCCTCTCTCTCTGCAGCTGCGTTGCAAGAATAGCATGATCCCTCTGCAACTCACTGAGTGCCACCAGCAGGTCCTCGATCTGACCATGCAAGTTCTTATCCTTATTCGGTTTCGAAACCAAACTGTTGAAGCCGACGGACTGAGCTCGGACGGAGGAGTTATCAGTATTCGAAGAGTCTCGAGAGACGTACGTAGCGTCGGTCGAAGAGCTCAAAATACTTTCGGATCCACCACCTTCCATAGAGTTCAAAGTCGAAGCGATGCTCTGCTTCGATGACGACCTCTGCAAGAAGCTGGCCGGTCGAGATGGCGTCGTAAGTGCCGGACTGAGGTTGGTTGACTTCGTAGACGAGTTCGAGCCTGTCCAGAGCCGACCTAGGAATCTCGAAGCAGCAGATCCGACCTCGGTAGGCGTAACGGTGTCGGCAATCTGGGCCTCTCCGTAGCTCGCCTCCAGAGCTTGCAAACTCTCCCGAGTAACCATACCAGTCATACTCACGAACTCGGTCACGAATTCGTCGGCGTTGTAGTGGAAAACATCCCACAGTCCTCTCGACAGCAGCAGCTGCATCACATCCTCGAACTCCGAACAAGCCATGATCTTCTCCTGGTTCTTCCTCATCAGCGACAGCGCGACCCTCATTATCGTCTCCGAGGCCCCCTCGGCAAAGATAACATCGTAGATCCGGAAAAGCATTGGCAGGGGACAGGTGACAGCGAAGAAGGATAAGAACCATTGGGAGACGTAGGCGGGTTCCACGCCGTGGCCATCGAGAAAGGCCGAGAGCTCGGGCAAGTGTAGGTGGAGCAGCTTGTTGAACTGGTAAATCCGGACATGCAAGCCCGAAAGGTCTGGGAGGAAGCAGTTTCGCAGATCGTAATGCTCCATCAGCCTGCCGGTGTTAGCAACCCTTCTTCTTTTCAAAATGCACGTATAGCCCTACCGAACAAGAACGCAGAATGCCTGCCTGTCGCCCATGTGCATCAGCAACGGGCCAACAAGAAAGCCCAAGCCCTGACAGTACCCAATCTTATGATCGTACAGACTGAAGCACTTCAGCACCCTCCCCAGCATCCGCTGGCCGTCGCCTTCCGGATCGCGAAACATCTCCACCCCCGGGAAGCTCCGCCCCAGATCTTTCCCAATAATGCCCTCATACGGACTCGACTCCCCACACAGCCTGTCAAACTGTTCCTCCAGCATCGTGTCCCGGGCCCCAGACATACTCTGCCACACCACCCCCCTCAACGGAGGTGGGATCCCACTCCGTATCTTCTTCGACAGTAAGGTAGGCAGGTATTGTGCTGTCCTTGAGTAGTCCTGCACCAGCGCAGCGTAGAACTCGAGGTCCGTCATAGGCGGCGCCGGAATCAACGAGTACCGCAGGGCAGCGGGTGTCGGGCCATTGACGAGTCTTTTGAGGTGCTGTATCGACGGGGGTCTCGATTTGTGTCTCGCTCTCGCGCTGTCCACGACCTGGACCTTGACGATGCCGGATTTGGGGTTCGAGACGAGGGCAGCGTTTTCTTGCTCGAGTCGAGCGAGGAGGAGGGCGGTTGACTGTTGGTGTCGTGTTAGTTAGCATAGTTATTCTTGTATCCATCTCCTTGATCTGTCTCTCCGATCCATCTCCTCCATCCCCGTGTTCAGATTATCTCTTCCACCCAGCCCTTAACGTGGTAGCCAAAACAGGACTCACATCATCCGAGCTCTCGTCCCTGGGCTCATTCTCCTCGGTCCTCTCCAGCTCCTCCCAATTCACGCCTTCGCCCTCCGCACTGTCTCTGTCCCCGTCGTCGTCTCCGTCGCCGTCCTCGCTTTCGCTGCCCCTCCGCGATGTCCTCTGGCTCATCCCGTCTCCGGCAGATCCCCTGGGCAGCGACTGGTTTCCCCCGGGGCTCATCGTGGTGGCGATCCTCGGGCTCTCTCCCGCCTGTTCCTCTGTCTCTGCTTCTTCCTCCTCTAGCACATGCTCCTCCACGCCGTCGAGCCTGGTACCGGGCGTCTGTACCTCCTTCTCTGGTGTCGTTGTCTCGATGGTATTTGTATGCGGATGCGTGACCGTAGGGATAGCGGTATCGAGGTGCAGGGTCGGCGCTGTGGGAGGTTCGGAGAGGCGCACCGTGACCATGGAGTCGTGGGCGACGTGTTTCGATGGAGTTGGGGCGGTCGGAGTAGGATCAGTGGTCGTGGTCGGGATCGTGGTCGGGGTCGGGATCGTGGTCGTGGTCGTGGTCGTGGTGGTAGAGGGAGAAGGAGGGAGAGAGCCCCTTTCGTTCTGCTGTAGTTCTTGCTGTGATTCTAGCTCTGCTGGCTCTCGCTCTTGCTCGTGCTCTTGCTCCTGTTCCTGCTCTTGCTTTCCCTCTTGTTCTTCCTCTTGTTCTCTCTCTTGCTGCCTCCCAGTCCGGACCTCATCCTCATCCCCATGCCCATTTCCATTTCCATTCCCACCCCCGTTCCCACCCCCGTTCCCATCCCCATTCCCGCTCAGACTCTCGACTTCTTTCGGTATCGGCATTGGCATTGACCCCATCGCGGTAGTTTGTGGTTGCCGCCGTGACGATCGGAGTGCCGGCAGACGGACCGAGCAGATGACCCGATGTCAATGGATATTCTTCGTCTGATGTTTTCTTCCTTCTCTCCTTCTCTCCTTCTTTCCTTCTTTCCTTCTTTCCTTCTTTCCTTCTTTCCTTCTTTCCTTCTTTCCTTTCCTTCTCGAACTGTTACCGAAGGGCTGTAGGGCTGTAGGCAGGCGTGAGATCTGGGCAGAGCCGAGTCTCGTCGTCCCAGACTCGACTCGAGATGCGGTGCAATGCAAATGCAAATGCACTTGCAAACGCAAACGCAATCCAATCCAGTCCAGTCCAATTCAATTCAATGCGTTGTATCTCTCCCTCTCTCTCTCCTTCTCCGTCCCGTCCAGCCCTCTCCACCGTTTCACCCACGTCCCGCGTCTCTAGTTTCGAAGCAAGTTAGTCCCCCGAGGCAGAACACCGAGCCAGAACAACACATCTAGCCCTTCAAAAAATACAGGCAAAAGAGAGATCGTCGGGTCGACAGCAGAACCAAGTTAAGGAGCGAGTGGAATGAGATCTAAACAGGTCAAAATTGCTGAATAGCTCGGGAGGTGAAAACCAGTGCCAAAGAGAAACGAGTGGTGGAGAAGGTTTTTGTCGTCTTTGTCTTCCAACCTCGAACAATCTGACGCTTGATCAGCGTTCAGGGGTAAAGTAAATACGCAGCCCTGCAATCAACCAACCTCCTACTTATTAACAACTCCAATACTTATGATCCGCACGTCGCCGATTGTTAGCTCTCGCCCAGCCCCGAAAGAAAGGCGAACCTTTTATTCTATACGTTGTATTTTTATTCTAGATTTGACCTTTTCTTCACTTTATTGACTGGTGAGATTCATCAACTAACGGTTTAGAGACAAACTGATATCTTGGGTATTTTATTTTTGGGACGTCATACATGGACATCGTGGTCGATACGTATATCGATATACTCTGTACTGATACTTATATGTATATATATATATATATATATATACATATACAACCTACCCACATGTATTTATTTTTATACACACCTAGATACACAAGTCTCTCCAAGAAATGCACCTCCATCCATCCATCTCTGATACCTAACCGTTTATCGATACTGCTGGGATACACCACGGACCTGCCCGTACTCATCCTGGCCGTGCACGGCGAAGGCCGGACGGACAACGGGCGAGCATAGCGGCCGCTAATTGACAAGGAAATGATGAATAATGTCAGACAAGTACCCCATCCGGTAGTATTATTATTATTAATATGATGATTGTTATCACGACCACGATCATCATGTTTCATTTATCATCGAGCCACCAACAACCAATACCGTCGTTATACAATTCATGCTTTATTCACATTCCCCAAAACCCGATGCGATTACCTACTCGCGTGATCGTCCGTCGACGCGCTTAGGTGGGCCTCCGTTCCATCCTTTCAGTCTTGACGCTTGAAGTCGGTACGTAAGAGCCGACCGAGTAGCGAGCCCGCTAGCTGACAAAGCTGTTGTTCCTCCCCCGCCCCTTCTTTTTTCTCCTATTTGCTTCTCTTTTTTGATAATGAATTTCTGATATACCGGTACACTGTCCCAGTCGTATATTTCCCTTTTTTTTCCCCTGGCTGTTCCTTCCCTTTTCTACACCTCTCTCACAATTCAACCTTCAACATTCAACCTTCCTCCCCATCTATCCATATAACCGGTACCTAGCGCCACAAAGACGATGAAAATAAAAAAAAGACCTTCGCGCTCCATCCCGTCTCACATGAACGACGACGAACGACGAATACAAGTCCCGTTTCTTGGACAAAGAGACTAAGAAATCATTTGATGATCACTTTTCGCTTCCCCTTCCACCGCGTCCCTAATTCTCGTTTAGGTTCAAACCATAGAACACAGGATATACGTAGGTAGACCAATTAATTGTACTATACTCTACGCACCTATTCTATCCATCCAACCTTTCGATCTAGGTAGTCTGGCCCAGTCTGATCGGGCCAGGTCGTGATGTGTAGGTGATGAACTCTACTCCCTCCGTCCTTGGCTATACATACATACCTACCTTAGGTAACCGCTAACCCCATACAACCACCTTTCGCACCAAAACCAAGGATCAACACTTGGAGATAATTCTTTTTTTTTCTTTTTTTTTCTCCAACCTTCGCCGTTGCCTATGCTTCCCATTTCTATTTACGCGGAGAGTAGTCAATCAAAACCATCAAGCCTGACTTCTGCACATCCAACAGACCTAGAGGAGACTCTACGTACACAAAAGACATGTAAAGTAATGCTGAAGAGTCGCTCCCCCCCCCCCCCCCCCCCCACCCAATTCCCAACACGAAAGGCGTGCGTGAAAATGAAGATAGAAAAGTGCCATTCATTCAACCACCATCCGGCCCGCTAGTATACACATACCACAACAGAGAGATATCAAATCCACATCAACCAGGGCATCATCTCCACCAGCTAGAAGGCCCATTATTGCACTCTAGCCAGCCTCCTTGCATCAAGAAAAGATACGTCTCAAGAAATAAACCTCCATGCCGTCCCGTAGGTAGCTATCCATCCTGCCCGTATGACCCAACGCCCGCCCTCAAATAAACAATTCTCTCCCAACGTGTCGGTCCACACCTTCTCTACTCGCTCTCGTCAAATTCATCCTCACTCTCCTCCTCCGCTAGCGCACTGTCGTCCCCATCATCGACGTCCATCTCATCTTCATCCTCAGAATCGATATAGACAGGCTTCTTCGCCTTGGGCAGAGCAGCTGCGCGAGCAGGACGTGCCCGGCCCCGAGCGGCAGGTCGGGGAGCTATATCCTCATCCTCGTCATCCTCATCGTCATCATCAACGATAACAGGACGGGCAGCAGCAGGCTTGGCCTTGGCCTTGGCTTTAGGTGCGGGTGCCGGTGCCGGAGAATCACCGTCACCCATCTCGACGTCTTCGTCCTCATCCTCGCTGAAGGCAGGCTGCGATGTGAGTTGCAGCTTGCTTTGCTTAGCGGCGTAGGCCTTCGCAGCCGGAGAGAGTTGACTTGGCTTTGCTGGGGCAGTCACCTTCTTCGGGGCTGCGGCTTTCTTTGGCTTTGCGGCAGCCTTCGCAACTGCCTTGGGAGGAGCTTTTGGCGCAGCAGCCTTGGTCGGAACCTTCTTCGTGACGGCAATAAGCTCGTCATCATCGTCATCAGATAGGAAGCTGTCGAGGCTGTCCTTAGGGGCAGGGGCCTTCTGAGGAGATGACTTGGCCAGCATCTCGTAGTTGGTCTCGTCCACGTCGTCAGCGAGGTCAAAGGTTCTGCTAGCCTTCGTCTTGAGCTTGGGGAGATCTGTATGGCCATGACTGCTGCCGGGACGGGCAAAGTTGGCGAACCGACTGTTCTCTGCATTGGCACCTCCACCAATACCCTTGACCATGGCACCAACGTCTCCCAGTAGCCCGCCATCATCACTCTCAGACTCCTCGTCGTCGGTGATAACCCACTTCTTCGGAGCTGCAGCGGCGGCGCGCTTGGTTCGTCCATTGGCAGGTTGCTCGCTGGCTTGTCTGGAAGTCGACGTTGATTTTTCCACGGCTGCAGGCTTGGCTGCCTTCAATGCTTCAAAATCCCCATCAGACATGCCATCCGAGATCTCATGAAACTCATCCTCTGCACTGTTGGTTTCAGCGCTCTGCTTTGGCTTGCTGGCGAACATGTCTAAGAATCTCTGGTGAGTCTTCTGCTCAACCTTGACAGCGCTCTTGGCAGGGTTGGCCTTCAGCGGCTTGGATGGCTTCGGGTTGTAATCGTTGTCGGCATACTTAGCCTTGGCCTTGGAGGTCTTGCCAGCACCAATCTTCCTCGAGGCCCGGCGGTTGGTGTTGCGAATCGTCTTCTGGTAATCTGCCTCTTCTGCAAGTTGGACTTCCCACTCGTTCACGAACTTGTCAAGATCCTCGCACCATAGATCCTTCTCTGTGAGCTTCTCCATTGTGTCATGTTCAACCTTCTTGGCAGCCATCTGTGCTTTGAGCTTCTCCACGCGCTCCTGTGTCAGCGACCAGATGGGTAGCTGTCAATATGTTAGTAAAGAGCTCCTGATCCCAGACGAAGAACGACTCACCCCAAGCAGATAATCAAAGTCCCGCGCACCAGCATCATCGTCAGCAGAGACCTCCTCATCGTTCTCCACGACATCGTCAGTCTCGCCAGACTTTTTTGCATCGTTGAGCTTGGGGAATGCATCATATCCACGCTTGCGCAGCTCGGCAACCAGAACCGGCTTCTTTTGCTTTGAGACCACCAGCTGGTTATCAATGATCTCCAACACGAATCTGGCTTGGTTTCGGAGCTTCCGGTACTCCGTGTTGATCTTGGCCAACCAATAAGCCTGCAAACGTTAGTCAATCCTAGCATGCGCAGCTCAAGCCATCAACGTACCTTGCGCTTCGTGTACATAGCGAATCGGTACACATAAAACTCCTCAAGAATTTCCTCGACATTTTCATACTTCTTGATTTGGCCACGAGGGTCAAATGCAACCAGATTGGAGGTGGCGACAGTCTTCTTCAACTTGAAGCGATCGAGCAGACCATCGGTCAGGGCCGACTTCATGTGCTTCTCATCGAGTTGCACAACGAAGTGTACGCTCTTGTGGTCGTTGTACTCCTTGTAGTCCTTGACAAACGAAGGAACCTTCTCTCCCTTGATAATCTCTTCGAGCTTCGCCTTGTAGTCGTCAGTCCACATGCGGATGGGAAGTTCCGTGATCTCGACTTCGTTGTTGCCCATCTCTTTGATCACACCGTCGAAGTTGTACCGATTGGGTCCGGCTTCCTCTGGAGTACCCTTCCAGCCACGGAACCAAGGGACCATGGTCTGAAAGGGCTTCTCCTCACCATCACCTTCATCCAGGCGACCCATACGGCGCTTCAGGTTCTTGACAATGTCCAGAGGGTGGTAGTTGGGAATGGTGGTGCTCCATCCGGTACCGATACCATCAGCACCGTTAATGAGCACCATGGGAACAACGGGACAGTACATAGTTGGCTCGATGCTCTTCCCATCGTCAACATTGTACTCGTAGATTGGTTCGTCCAGAGCAGAGAAGACACGCCTAGCGAAGGGGGAAAGTCTCGTGAAGATATAACGAGGACTGGCCGAATCGCTTCCTCCTGCAAGACGGGATCCGAAATTTCCACTCGGTTCCAGGCAGTTGATGTTGTTTGATCCCGTGAAGTTCTGAGCAAGTCCAACGATCGTCATATGCATAGAGGCTTCACCATGATGGTAGGCGGTGTTCTCGGAAACATAGCCGGCCAACTCTACTACTTTCATATCCTTGACGAGATTTCGCTTAAAGCAAGCGAACATGACTTTGCGTTGACCGGGCTTGAAACCATCAATGACGGATGGGATAGAACGGATGTTGTCTGCCATGCTGAAGAGAATGAGCTCCTTGTTGATGAAATTATCGTACGTCAGGGTCTTGGTGGAGTGGTCGAGAAAGGTTCCTGGGAGGAAGTTGCCCAGCCATGTCTTCCGAGCATCGGCCTTCTTCTTGGAGAAAGCAAGGTCAATGAGCTCTTCTTCAGCTTGGGTCATGACCTCGAACTCTCTCAAGTGATTGTCCAGATTGCTAAAGTAAACCTGAGCATCTTCGGGCAAACTGGTGCCCAAACCCTTGTAGTACTTGTGTGTCCATCCCTTCTCGTTCGCGTGCTGGTCCTTCCACTCCTCATACTGCGGCATGGTGAAGAACGACTTCTGGCTGATAGGCTTCTTCGGGTTGGGACCCTTGTACACCTTGACAATGGGGGTGATGAATTCTCGGAAAAAGTCGGGCAGCTTGAGCAGACTGGGGAATTGGACCTGGAGGAAGTTGATCAAAAGACCCTTGATATGACTACCATCGTGGTCCTGATCGGCCATAATCATCAGGTGCCCATAACGGAGGCCAGTCGTATCGTTGTAATTCTGCTTGTGCTTCAATCCTAGGAACTGCTTGATGTTCTGGATCTCGGCATTTTTGCTTATCTGATCAATAGACGCATCACGGACGTTGAGGAGTTTACCTCGGAGAGGAAAGACGCCAATACGATCGGGATCAAGGACAGCTCTGCCTGCGACGGCAAGACCCTTGGCGGAGTCTCCCTCAGTGAGAATCAGGGTACACTCGTGACCTCGCCTTGTACCAGCCAAGTTAGCATCGACAAGCTTGGGGTTGCTCATACGTGATCGCTTGTTTCCATCACTCTTCGCCAAAACCTGGTCGGCCTTGGCCTGCTGGAAGTTCAAGATGTTCTGGACAGCCTCGGTCTGGCCAATTTTCTTCAGGAACTGGTCGGTTAGAATACATTTGCTTCCAAATTGCTTGGACTTTGTGGTCAATTGTTCCTTGGTTTGCGACGTGAAAGCAGGGTTGACGATCAAGCAGTTGACGAACAAGAAAATGTGATTGCGGATCTGGTTCGTCTTCAGAGCCGTACCCTTGGCATTCTTCTTTTTCACTACGGCCATCAACTGGTCGCAAATTTGGTCGGCGATGTAGTTGACGTGAGTACCCCCTGAGGTCGTGGCGATGGAGTTGACGAAGGATACTTGCTGGAAGGAGCCATCAGATACCGCGAATCCGACCTCCCACTTCGCGTGTGCCTTGGGATCTTCGATGATGACGGAAGCGGAAGGGGGCTCGGCGCCTTCTTCGACACCACGCTCCTTGTTGATGGCTTTGGCGTACATCTCGATGTACTTCTTGAAGTCCAACTTGATGAGTGTTCCGTTCAAGGTGACCTTGACACCCTTCAATGTTCCTGCCATATCGTAGACTCGACGCTTGACCAAGGCCTCGAAATCATCATCGATGTTTTCCATCTTGAATTTCTTGTAATCGGGTGTGAAAGTGATGCGGGTGAAATCCGAAGACTTGCTTGATGAGATTTTTGCCTTGCCCATCTTGCTCATGTTTTCCGTCCAAGTCTGCTTGTATCTCTTGCCAGTATTCGAGTCCTGGGTCTCCAGGATAAATTCGGTACTGAAGATGTTACAGAGTTTGGCTCCATAACCATTACGACCACCGGTAGTCTTCGCCTCATCGTCGTCATAGTTGGATCCAGTGAGCAGGTGACCAAAGATCATCTCTGGGATATAGATTCCTTCTTTCTGCCAGACTGTTAGAGATACCAGAGCTCTAACGATCGGAACATTTGACATACCTCATGGATTTCGATCGGAATACCAGCGCCATCGTTCTCAATACTGATCTCTCCCTTCTCCCGATCAACAACAACTTTGATCGACTTCATGGACGGATCACGCTGCTTGTTGTCGGCAGCATTGACAAGAATCTCGTCGAAGATCTTGTATAGACCTGGAACAAACGTAATCTTTCGCAGCTCCATCGATTGGGACTCGGAGTTGAACACCCACATTGTCTCAGTGGTCTGTTCAACGGAGCCGATGTAAGTATCCGGACGCTTGATGATGTGCTCGAGTTGTGTGAGCTTCTGGTATTGGTCTGTTGCATTCTTTTTGCCTTTGGGCTTTGGCTTTACTGGCTCATCGTCATCATCGTCGTCGTCTAGGGCCATACTCTCGTTGGCGATATCTGCCAGAGGCTTTGCACCACCTTGCTTTGCCGGTGTCTTCTTTCTCTTCTTGTTACTTGGAGGGGTATTCGACAGCAGAGACGCATCACCATGCATATCCATATCGGAAGGATCGTCTTCGCCATCGGTGTCTGGCTTCGGGCGCTTTTTCGCGGAAGTTTTGGTCGGAGCCTTGCTGGTCTTCAAGGTTGTTTGTACCATCTTCTTAGGGGCTGCCTTTGCCTTTGCTTTTGGTTCCTTTGGAGCTTTTGGTACCTTAGGAGCTTTTGCAGCAGCAGCTTTCTTAGGTGCAGCTTTTGCTTTAGGCTTCTACACCCTTGATTAGCGCTGGACAAGCGTGACTGGAGAGCCAATGGAAGAGAGAAGTCGACTGGTGCTACCGTTGGTAATTCAACAGGGCTTCGGGGTATTGCTTACAGGTGCGACGGGTTCAAATCCATCAGAGTCACTCTGCCCAACATCAAAAGCCGAGTCCTCCATATCGCTCTCCATGATTGCAACTTGTGCGCGACTATGCGTCGAGATTGTTTGTGTTTGACCGAAAGAGGAGGGTCGGAAACGGATTCGGAAATTTGTGAAGTATTGATTGCGGTAAAGAAGGACTGGGTCGGGATGTTTGTGTTGTTGTCGTCGTCTTCGTCTTCGTCGTCGGCGTCGGCGTCGGCGACGGCGTAAGATGCGTTGTACAGGAGGAGGTATGGAAAGTGTTGACCCTGACCGGTTTGTGTCGACAAGGACGAGGACTTTGTTTACAAAAAATAAAGTCGGACGCGTCCCACTAGGGACGACAAGGGGCTCGATGCGGCCGCTAGTTTGGGCACGCTAGACTCAGCACGTGACTTAATTTTCCGTCTCCACTTATTATCAAGCTATGCCAAGCAATCCATTCTTCTCGACTACCTACTCTCGGGCAACTTTCACTTCATCTCAATCTCATCCCTACCCCTTTTTCATTAAACGAGTGTGCCTCGCTTAATTGTTATGATGTTGTATCTACTCAGATGGCTTCCTCCCCTTGTATATGACTGACCTGCCTCCTTCACCCTCCTATGCTTCATCCCTTCACACAGCCTCCATTTCTGCTCTCAATACCTGCCCCGACTACCGAACTCTCACTCTCTGTATTCCAATCGTTTGCTGCAGCTTTCCTCAGTTTTGGACCATTCTGCAAGCCCTACAGTCAATGCCATGAGTTGTACTTCCACCTGAGTCCGTCATTATTCTCAAGTCTCACAGCATTCAAATTCTTTGCATTGGGCCACCAATCCCATGTTGCACGGCGCGGCACGACTGGTCTGGCTGGTCGATGAACCGGTGCGGTATTCGGAGACTTTGATATTGCTCTCGGCATCTTGAATGCCGCTCCACTTGGTCTTGGTATCAGTGCCAATCGTCGCTATGTCCCTATTACCACACCACATCTTCCCATCCATGCACGAGAGCCGCTGGAGTGCAACCCTTCGCCTATGGGCCTCGTTTCCGCCATCGCCCACCTACCGGCGAGTATGCACCCGCCCGGCCATGCTGCTGCCGCATGGGCAATCATAATATTCCGCTGCTGCTGCCTAATATAGGCCCCCAGTACCTGTGTCCCTCCGTCTCCACGCGTTCATCGACAGATGCTATGTGAGACCACAACGGCTGTCAGAATAACAGCCGGCCGGCACTAGAGGAGGTAGGGGAGTCGGTCCTGGCAGGGCTGGTACTACGGTTGTCGCTCGTTTCGGCTCTTGCAGGATCTCCATCTTAAATCCTCGCCTCACTTAGTTCAACCTCAGTGCTACCGTGACGAGATAGATATCCGATCCTCTATTCCGCATCCTGGCAGCCTCGACAAGGACCACTCCAACTGGCAACTATTCGGATGCATCGAATATCCGACATTGCTGCTCACGATAATCTCAAACACACCCCAATGGCCCCCTTGCCCCCGCACGCTGTCTTCGAGTCTCTTGGAATTTTGCACCCGCATAAAATAGCATCATGCTGTGCCGCCCAGGCAAGCCAATCCGCCCTCTTTGTTCCAGATCTCCCCTCTCTCCGTTTGCTCAATTGTATGGGAGCGAGAACGTGGTTGGTCTACAATCTCGGTGTCAATGCATCGGCTGCACGGCTATGTGCAGAGCTTTGAATCCCATGTTCTACCGGAGGAGTGCACTTTAGACCACGCCCGACTCGAGGACGATGAGGTGGACGAGCAGCTGTCCAAGTGGTAGAGCTGGACGAGGTCTCCCATGTCAAATTGGAGCAAGCCGATCACGAGGTTCTTTGCCCTATTCTCCGTCTTACCTTGTACTCTGTCTCTTCATCCGATCTTCTCGCGCGCTTCGTGTCATTTACGATGGTCAGACCCTACCAGGGCCAGCCCGGTATCAATGTCTCTCAACATCTCAGTCCAAGTAAGCTTTTTGGGCTTCAGATCGGCAGCCAGCACCCAAAGAGGGTCCAAGGCTTGCTTGCATGAGTCCCGTGCCTTCGCTGGAAAAGGTCCAGTGACAACGGCAGGGAACCATTTTTTCTCGAAGAAGCGTAGAACTTCTTTGACGCCCTGGAGGCGATGGAATTATGTGATGTGATAGACCGGCTGCGAGCACGAAGCATCCCGGCCGGGGTGCAATATCTTTGAGGCACTTTCCAGAAGCCATTGAGATGAGACACTTCTCTCCACGGGTGATGGGTGATGTAATGGTTGATGGGTTTGATCTCTCTCCAGCCCATGCTGGCTGGGCCCTTTGACTCGTGGCTTGCAGATGGGATGGAGTTTGAAGTTTGGAGTTTGGAGTCTGGAGTTTGGAGGATTGCTTTCCACGTGCATCGAGTCAAGCAAGCTGTTGTCGCAGGGCCGTTGGACACGCATTAGGATGCCGCAAATTTCTTTGTCTTGCTGCGAAAAGGTGGCAGGCCATCGGCATCAGCTGCAGCCTCCCGTCCCCAAGACTCCTGGCCCGCCGGGGGCGATGGGGGACCAGATCCGATGGTCCGCCCTTCAAACACGCTCCTCTGAGTCTTGTCCTCATGGGGCAGTGGGCACCACGATTGGTGGTCGTGGTGGTGCTGGGGAAGCTGGTGGTCGTGGTGTTGTGGGTGTCAAACTCCATTTACTGAAGCGAGCTTGGTACCATCCTGCTGCCCGCTGCCGCTGCCACGCTACCGCTTACCATGCCCCTATTTGGCAATGCCTATGAATGCTCTCTGGCACCTGCATTCGGGGTCCAGTGGCACAGGCTCCCTCGATGTTTGAGCTAGAACGTAGGATGTAGACCGCTGTTGGCCTTGGAATGACGGCCACTGTCAGTCACGGTGACAGTCATGGTCGCTGTCACTGTCACGGCCACGGCCCCGGCCGCGGCTACGGGAGCGGAGAATGCTCACAGAAGCCTTCTAGAGTTCGTTTGGGCTGCGATTCCATCACCTCGAGAAGACTTCTCTCATAACTACTCGACAGACTGACTGACTGACCGACCAACCGACCGACCGACGTGCCAACTGAACTCTCCTCCTGCCCAGGCGGTCGGGAGACCATCTCTCCTGGCTTGCTTCCTTGCTCCCTTGCACCCTCTTTACCTCTTTACCTCTCTCTCTCTCTCCTCTCTCCTCTCTCT